TATCTTGTGCCAGCTTATAAATAATGTGACAAACCTCTTTAGCTGAACCGGTTTTGTGAAATGAGTTAGACCCATAAATTTCTACAAAAGTCTCTTCACTTGTTATTTTGAAACCTTTCGTAATTGTGCAGGAGCTCCGCTGATGCTGAGGAAAATGATAGTGCAGCATCCTTAAGGGATTTACCAAGTTCAGAAAGTTTTGATTGAACTTCCAAGGGCATGATCGTGTGGCTGAAATCATTCTGCTTACAATCATCTGGTTGTTGATTTTGGAACAATTCAGATTTCTCCACCACAGTATTCTCTTGACAAGAGTCCTAAATAAAAGAAAACAAATCCATAAATTCACAATCTTCCATATCAAACCATGGATCTTGTTGACACTTGGTAACTGCTGCCTCTTTTCCATACCCGATAAGTGGATCATAGCCATTCTGAGTATCACTGAAATGAAATGAGGAGAACAAGGTTTTCACCATTCTCAGTCACACACACACACACACCATTATCAAACGCTCAGTGATCATTAATCAATCTATCTGCACGCTTACCGGATTGGAAAACCTGCACTCACCGGATGAGCACTTCCGTATATCCATACTTATCGAATTGGCAAAACCACTAACTTCTGTTAGACCTCTAGCTGGGACCACCAACGAGACACCAAGAGAGGAATCATCTAGAAGGAGATTAGTTAGGTTGTTAATTTTATTCCTTTTCTGTTTCTATAGCAGTATGTATGTTAGAAATTATTCCATTATTGCTGTATATATTGAGGATCAACATTTCTGTAAATATATGAAAAATTCCCACGAGAAACAGTTCTTCTCATAAATCTTCTATATGGATTTTTCATTTTTCAAAATCTAATAAAAAGAAAGTCTTAAACTAGATTTGAAATATTTCCAGAAAATTTTCTAGAGGGACTTGAACTCCTGTATCAAAAGAAAAGGCGAAGAATATATAAGAATTACAATTATCTCAATTTGACAGGATTCGGTGGAACATATAACTTTTGTAAACATGAAGCTGTCTTGAAACTAAATGAACTCCTACAATGGATAAAATTTCTTGGGCACGATCACCAGAGAGATACCCCGATTTCTTGACCCTATACCCCTATCCAAAAGAAGGCTGTGCAATTGCAAATTTAATGTAAATGAAGGAAACGTCAACATTACGAATACATGGACAAATCACAGATGTTTAAAGATAGAAAAACATTATGCTAACCTTCCAAGAGATCACGAGATTTTTGCTGGATTAATAAAATTTAATAAACAGAAACCAATGCATAGAGGTGCTTGAAAATGGAGAAGTTCACTGTATCAGACCATCTATTCAAAAATTTTAGCTGTAGAAGGAACCTGAGTGGCATAAATCATGATAACCCCAAAGTACTTCTAGAAAAATGATAATAAATTAGTGAAAAGTAAACACCAAGTATTATTGTTGTTGATCTGCAGCAGCTGCAAGTGGCTGTAGAGCTTTGAGTGGATTCAAGATGACACCGTCTATAAGCCCATATTCTTTGGCTTCTTTAGCACTCATGAAAAAGTCACGATCAGTGTCTTGGTTTATCTTCTCCAAGCTTTGACCAGTGTGATATGCCAGGTAACCATTTAAGTTTGCTTTATGATGCAACATTTCATTTGCCTGGGTAAAAATTCATAATAATTAAGAACTATGAGGAAAAAAAAATTTCAGAGGAACATGAAACCAATATATTTTTATTTTCCCTCCAAAGAAACCGATAACAAATCAAATTTCTCAGCAATGCCATGTAAAAAATGCAGTGTAATGGAGAAACCAGAACATACTCAATTGCACGATGGAGATTAAAAATTTACATTTTTTCAGAAATAATATACAATATGGAGTTTCAGAAAGTCCAATTTCTGGGATATTTTTGTAAAGGAGATCTCAATAACAAAAAACTATAGCAAAGAACCAAACTCCTGAGCTCCATTCAGATACGCTTCAACCGAAACTCATCTGAGATAATTCCATTCACAAATTAATCCAAGCTAGAATTTAAATCATGGCTCATTAACAAATCAAGCAAAGCTTGAAATAGCCTAGAACCTATAGTTTTGATCAGGGTACTACTCTAGTTTGTAACTCCAACTGGAGATGACAAAGAATTTAATAATTCATCACCGATTCTAAAAATTATTCCACAATCCATAGATGTTCAAAAGAACAAAATAATAGATTATTGCTTTCCACTCAGATATTACTAGCATACCTTAAAAAATAAAATAACAGTCAAATACCTGAATATCTATGTCAGTCTGCCCACCTTGAGCTCCACCAAGAGGCTGATGGATCATTATCCTTGAGTTGGGAAGGCTATACCGCTTTCCTATAGTAAGCACCAGAAAGAAGGTAGAGTAATTTCAGTAACCACAAAAGCAACAACAGAATGTTATAACCACTTAAAACAACCACATATTACCTTTAGTACCGGCACTCAGTAGAAAAGCCCCCATGCTGCACGTGCATTACGAAATAAACTCAAAATTAGTTGAGATGTGATAATTCTTGCACAGGATGATGCAAATATGAACCCCATGAAAACATCTATCAAAGAACAACATAACTGCAATATGTAATTGCATCAAGAAAGAACAACATAACTGCAATTTGCACCAAGTCATATACAAGAGTAACGATAGATCTTTACCTAGCTGCAAGTCCAACACATACAGTTGAAACATCTGGTCGGATATGCCTCATTGTATCAAATATGGCCATACCTAAAGAGACGAGGAAGCAGATTAGAAATATGAACAACAAATAACATAAATAATGGAAACAATAAAAAGAGAAATCACCAGCAGTAACTGATCCTCCTGGAGAGTTCACGTACATGACTATATCCTGTTAAATTATCATGACACATCAATGCTAAAATTATTTTAAAGTATGATTTGTAACCGAGGGAGACAATTGAAGCAAAACCGTAACCATACATGTACGTTAGTGTGCATGCAATAACAATTAACATCTATGTCAATTCCATGAGATCAGAAATTTGATCACAAAGCAGGTAAAGAGAAATAAAGCTACCAACATTATTACATGGTCGTCTATTATATAATTACTTTAGTATGTGTAATATAGCAATTAGCCTATTGGTAGAAAAAGATTTTGCAAAACTTAATTTTACATCAAAAACTCAGATTGGAAGTATTAAAACTTTATATTACTGACATGAGGACAAGAAGTCTAAAATTCTTAAAACTGTAATCTAACTACTGCAAAGAGAGCTTAAGTTTTAAACTATGCAAAGTTATAGCACAACGTCACTATCCTGGGAGAAAAAGTGAAAATATTTGTTAGATTAATTACATATTGCAAAGAAATAGTAAGCAAGATCACACGTTGCACTGAAGATATTTATCTACAACTGTAGTAATAAGAAATCACATTCAAGAAAGATGCAAGCTCAAGTTAAACTCCTAATCAATTTCATAATTCATGTAAAATCATTATCATCACTTAAACATGCCTATTTCTGTGTTTGTCATGTGCACATGTACAAAGGTATGACCTTTAAAGACGCCAATTCAAACTAATAGAACCAAAAATATTAGAACTTCGAGGAATGAAAGAGAAGAACGGTAGAGGGTTTAATAAAATGTACCTTGGTAGGATCAACAGCATCAAGATAGAGTAACTGAGCTACAATAATGTTGGCCATGTCATCATCTACTGCTCCGCCACATCGTATTATCCTCTATGATAAATCAACTTCCAATTTAACATCAATAAAGGCAGACAAGTAATAATTCAAAAGTCCAATTCAAACAAGATTGACTTACATATTGAAAAAGCTGGCTTATAACACTCATGAAACGCTCCTGAACCATCGGAGGTGGTCCTTGTCCCCCTTGCATATATGCTGGGAAGTATGGCGACGAAGGAACTTGTAAATCATCCCTAACGAATTTTCAAACTCCGTTAAAATCCGTAAAATTCAAATAATTAATACAATAAATTCATTTTCTTCTTCTTTTCTCGTAATGAGGTAATTGGAGAAAGAAAAAGTACCTAATTGACCAAATTCCCTGGCTCGAGCTATAATCCGATGCGTGGAACTCCGGAGCATAGACGGCCTTCACTGAAGATTTCTGGGGATTTAATTTTCTCAATTTCCTGCGGAGATTAAACAAAAGATTAAGTTCGGTAAAATAGTTGACAAAATTATAGCGTAAAAATGATGATTAGGATAGGACCTGACGCAAAAGGGTTGGAAGGGGGGAGAGAGGGGTTTGAAGGAGGAGGAAAACGAGGAGCTAGGGTTTCGCGTAGAGAGAGAAATGGAGGAGGAATTAAATCTGAGAGAAGAGAAGACGCATGAATGCGCCATTGTGGTGCTTATCCAATTGACGGCAGCGAGTGTGAGAGTGGGCTGGGAAAATATTTCAGGAAACTTTTTCCTGATTTAAGTGATAAGTGGGTTACAAATTACAAAATAATGGACGTCTCGTGTCGTGTTATTACAAAATAATCCATTTGACGAGTCAAATTTAATTAAAATAAAGTGATAATTATGGCTGCAATCTCAAATTTTAAATTTTTTTTTAATAATTTTTTTTATATATTTTTTTATCCGTGCTACCCACAATTTCTAATTCTCAATTTAATTACATCAGAAAAGCAAATGGACGATTTCTGTCCAGGTTGATCTGAAAAATAAAATTTTGATAAATTTTGAAAGGATAAAAGTTAGCCCATGTTTGGTCCCATTAAAATTATAATTCATTTATCTCTCTTTTCTTATCAATCATCATAGTTCTAAAACATGACCCGACTGGCTAGTTTAATCAGAAAAATAAAAAATTAGGGACCAAAACGTGTCCGATCCCCAAGACCCGTTAAACAAGTCAATTTTTGGAAGACTCGTGACCATTTTTCGGTTCAACCGATTCAACCTATGTAAATTTATATCTTTTGAAAAATTTTAAATGTATATTTTTTATTTTTTTATGAATGAATATTTTTAAAATTTTTATAAATGAATATTTTTTAATTTTTGTAAATGTGTATATTTTTTAATTTTTTTAAAAAATCGCTAATTCGACCTTTTGACCTTTGACTATTTCTCTTTTCCGGATCAATGGCTGAGTCGATTTTTAAATTATTGTCAATCACACACTCCAATAAAATAATATTACACGTAATCTAAAAAATTTTCCTTATTTTTTAACCACGCATTTTTAAAAAAAATACTATTTCAACCATTAAAATGTTACAATTCATTTGTGATACATTTGTCTTTCCCATTTTATCCCCACTAATTAATCTTTTTCCCATTTTATCTCCATCTTTTACTATTCATTTGTGAAATAGTTTTCATCCTCATCTTATCTTATAAAAA